CAGTATATATACAAATTTAGGGAAAACAGCCTAAGCTGGATATAGGCTACAGCAGTCGGCTTAATTAAATGGCGCAACAGGCAGCTCTCTTTTAACACAGACTTTTAAGAAGGGATGGATGTTTGCTTCAAGTGATAGGCCAGGTAAGTGAAATTATATTATCTTGCTGTATGTATGTCGTTTTCTTTACGTTTTCTGACTAAAAGCAACCAAAAAGCCATTTTAAATTGGTTAAGCAAATAATATAATAATAATAATCGGCAGGGATCCCAGACCAATACAATTAGTGTGCATCCTCTATTTTAAAACCCACGAACCGCCACTGGATATTTCTACTGGAAACCATGGCAAAAAAATATATATGCAAGAAGGGCCTAGTTTAATGCCCCTTTGACAGGTCAGAATTTTTCCGGGTACTTTCCCAAAAAATATAAACTACGAAAAAAAGAAAAAAAAAACTCCCACACCTGTTCTATATTTAGAGATCATTTGTGAAACAGCTGAGTTTTGTAATCCTGACAATTGGAAAGGGATTATGCTCATAACACTGCTCAGCACAATTCCATCACTTTCAGCATCGCAATGATTGTGCAACCTGTCATGTGGAGGTTACACTTCAGGACAATTTTACTTTTGACATAGAAAACATCCAGCATATGCAGAGCACTCTTTACCCCAGTACTGGTGCACACACAGCGTATTGTCTATGGTACATAAAAGCAATGATGCATAGCAGCTCAAACTCACATGGATTACAGCTGAAAGCAACAGATGGCAGTCTCCTCGAATGGCACTCTCATGTGTACCTCATCATCACTCCCTCACAAACACAAATGCACTAACACACAAGACGTTTTACCTTTTTCTTGGGTGGCATGCCCACTTGCTCGCTTTTCTTTTCGTTTATCCACGATTAACAGCTTAAGTAGTGGTCAATTTTATGCTCTCACAGCCGAGATTGACCAGCGACTGAGAAATATCCATGTACTATCCCCTTTAATCTGTTCCGTCCCAGGACAGCCAGCCAACTTTGTCAGATGAGCCCTAAGCGGGTTTTACGGCATGTTTTGCATGTGGTGAAAATCATAAAATCGTGAGCCTCAGGTTTCTCTGATAGTTATCGCAAAGTGAGGACCGAAAGTATCCCCATGAGTGGATACTCAAGCAGTGTGAGCAGCTCTCGCTGTGAGTGGAGTTTGCCACACTACTCCTCCACCCTCCCCCGCTCTGAAGGGCTTTATTCCACAGCGTGGCATCTGTTGCTCCAAGCACGAGCTGCAAACCTGTGCGATTAGTCGGTATCTGGTATATATTAGGACATATCATAGATATAATATTTTTATATGGAGATAAAGATGTTTGCCAATCCCTAATTGTAACTTTACAACTACAATTAAACCTCACAGGCCAAATAGTAGATTTAAAATTAATCATGAGTTGAGATTTATGAGCCCTGGGGAGTGGGGACTGCTTGAAATGTCCTCTCAAGTTGGTTTTCATCATGTTTTACTATATTAGCAATGACATTTTCAAAAACGAATTAACTGTTTTACGTCTCAGAAAAACACACTATGGATGCATAAACAACAGCAGGAGTATGATTCACCAGCCTCACACATGGAGCAAACACTGGGCCAAATATTATATTAGCATTAGCTATATTACAAAGTGAAAGGTGAGTCTGCACCAAAATACTGTAGTTTGATTGGACACACAGCTTTTGATATCAACAACACAAGATATAGGAAGTGTTTTCTTCTCCATTATAAAAAGTATTATGTAAAAATATAAAAAGTAAGTCTATTTGTTTTGCTGTCCTAACTACCGCACAGTTATTTGGTTAGTTGCCATTTATTAGTGGCATTTAGCAATGTTTTTCCCTGTTAACCACAACCCTATCACAACAGACTGGAGAACACCTGCTATCGCTATCTAAATAAGGAAATACTGTAAACTTCTATTGTTGATAATATACAATCAACTATAATTACTAAAGACTAACACTGTAACCCACTAAAGACCACTTCATTTTTCTAGATGACCTATATATGCCACTAATCAGATGACAGAGTATTAAAGGTGCACACCTGAGAGTAAGTGATTGTGATCCTATGACATTAATAAAAGCTAAAATAGTATTTCAGTGCTACTAAAAAGACACTATTAATAATTTAATTATTGAGTTATTCTTTGCTATTCATTAAAATGTAAAGGCTAATTGGGTGAAATCATTTAATTTGATTTCACAGGCTTCTATTATGCAATTAAATATGTATATGTATATGCCTGCATTGAAGTTTTAAATGTACCTTTTTTAAACTTGCCTCTTTTACTGGCTTTGTCTGTCATTGGTTATTCAATTATTCAACTAAATGTTTGTGATAGTATATATATATATATAGAGAGAGAGAGAGAGAGAGAGAGAGAGAGAGAGAGAGAGAGATTTATGTTTTAGTATGTGGATTTCTCTTAAAATTTGCTTTAAAAATGACAGAAGACTAAATGAAAACTCTAGACAGTAAAATCCAGTATCTATCTATCTATCTATCTATCTATCTATCTATCTATCTCTCTATCTCTCTCTCTCTCTATA